GGAGAAGGGTACTCATCTTCATGTATCTGGTGTATTTTACATTTGCAGCGTATTTCCATTTGTACTAGCTTTATTTCAAGTGCTCTGTTGTTCCATGGAGCTAGTGGCTACTGTACGGGACAGGGCAGGACTAGAACATTTCTGGAGCCTTTGATTTGTAAATTAAGCACCTCTACAGGAGGAAGGACTTCTTCTACCAGAAAATGCTCCCAGATCCAAGATAACTGTAAACTACAAAACACCCTTTGGGGTCTGACTTTGGAGGTGTAATTTTGAACATGTTTAATTCAACTTTGTGAGTTTAATTAAAGTTTTCATTAAACTTAAAAAGTGAATTCAGTTTGGTGCATTATAATTTGGTGGGGGGGATGAATGTTTGTCTTCTGTTTGCAGCATCTTTCTCTCTGCTGAGAAAACAAAAATTGACAAAGACTAGAACAAGATCTATGTCTGCTGCCAAAGTGAAAAGTTGTTCCTGTTGCATGATACCTTAGTGGTGATGGCAGGTTCTTCACACCCAGACCAACTGTCCTTTGTGTGATTCTAGCCTCTTCAATAGATCTTTGCTAACACACCTACTTCATTAGCAAAACCACTGATGTTTTAGTCCCTGGGCTTGCTGGCGATAAGGAGTAACTTTTAATTCCCCCTTATTTTGCAGCTACTGTTTTTCCTGAAAATATACCATGTTTTTTTGTGTCATACAAAGAAACTAAGAGGTGCCTTCATTAGTAATGGAAAATTTAAATACTAGCTGACATATATGTGGCTCTTTTGTTCTACACAAAGCACTTTCACAGGCATCATTCATTTGAGAGCATACAGAGGCAAAGGAGCAGTGCAGAGAGACAACTAGGTGTGGAGACAGAAGTCCAGGTTTTGGAAGACTAAATCTATTTACTGTTTCCCAGCTGGGTGGTGGTGATGTTGAGTGTGTGTCACCATAATCATCCATGACCAGGGCTTTCACTAGCTGATGTAGTGTCTTTGTACGATTTGGAAAAGGGTGCCCACTTGGGGTGTACACGACCTTGTAGGTACACAGCTTGGCAACTAGATAGCAGCTTTGAGCAAATTAGAAAAAAGTACCCCTATGTCTTACAGGCCAGTATCAGGGCAGATGGCTTGACAAGTGAAAAGGGCAGGATTTCAGACCCCATTTGCTCTCCTGCACAACTTACATGGCAGCTGTGACTATGACTAAATACTGATTGATTCTCATATATCAGGCATCATGCTAGGAACTTTACATATATTCGCTCCTGTATTCCCTATTCGTTCACTATTAGACATCCTCACTTTACACATTTAAACCAAGGCTCAGAGACTGAGTGCTTGGTTACAGTCACAGAACGAATAAGTGGTGGAGCCAAGATGAGAAGTCTAGTCTATGTAACTTCCATAAATCATGATCCCAACCACCACATTACATGGGGCAAATTATCCTTCCCAGGAGTTATTCTAACAGCTAAATCTGATTGCATACATGGAAAGGCTTCACACATTTTAACACACTAAACCGATCTTTACAATTGTGTTAATAAAAATCAGTGATCAGAATATTTGCTAAGATGATTTTTAAATACTTGAATTTCAAGATTTTCAAAGAAGAACCTACAACAGAACTGGTTATAAAAGTAGCATATAGATTGGTTATAAAGTAGCACATAGAATTCATCTATGGAGAAGGGGGTTGATAAAAATAGACATTTATAACAAGACAGGCATTATCAAGAGTCACTTGCCACAGATGACAGATAAAGCTTAATTGTTATGAAATTAGTATGTTATATTAAATACTGGTAGGACAATTTATTTCTCTTTTTTTTTCTGAGACAGAGACTTGCTGTCACCAGGCTGGAGTGCAGTGGCGCGATCTTGGCTCACCGCAACCTCCGCCTCCCGGGTTCAAGCGATTCTCTTGCCTCAGCCTCCTGAGTAGCTGGGACTACAGGCACACACCACCACACCCAGCTAATTCTTGTATTTTTAGTAGAGATGGGGTTTCACCATGTTGGACAAGATGGTCTCAATCTCTTGATTTCGTGATCCACTTGCCTCGGCCTCCCTAAGTGCTGGGATTACAGGCGTGAACAACCGCACCCGGCCTATTTCTCTTTTTTAAGGAAACCTTGAGTGATCTGGTCACTGGTTTCATTCAGGAACTATTTTTATCTTGTTAATTAATAGTTATTCAGTAGCAACATGGGAGAGGAACAGAGTAGAGAGGAGAAAAGAACATAAAAAAGATGAAACCTCTTAAACTATGTTTATGCTTCTCTCTGAACTAGAACTTTGAACAGTTGCACCTTCAAGGAAAAAGATAAGTTGTCTTTTTAAAAAGACAGATTTGGGTTTTATTGTTGCCGGTCTGTTTTTGAAGAGAGGAAAGTTCTGACAAGAATGAAGTGTGGTTGGGGATATGAAAAGAGTGGCGAGAAGGGCTCGAGTTTGGCATACAATTTGATTAACTGAGCTTTAATTATAAAATGTGCGTAATGGTTCCTTCATTACTATTAAGTTTAATACATGAAGAAAACCTGTGCCTTGAAAATTCCATCCTCATTTTTGCTCTAGTGGCCTCCAGTGCTTGATTCTTTAAGCCTGGAAGTATTTGCATTTCATCTAATTGTGTAAAATGGAACCAAAGTTTATCTGGTCTTTAAAACTGTGGCAAGGAAATGCTATCCAGTTTTTCCAAAATAGCTCATAGAATCCAAGACAGAAGATTATATCATTGTTTCTTCATACCTTGGAATATTATGCAGCCATAAAAAAGAATGGGATCCTGTCTTTTGCAGGAACATGGATGGAGCTGGAGGCCATTATCCTTAGCAAACTAATGCAGGAACAGAAAACCAAATACTGCATATTCTCACTTATAGGTGGGAGCTAAATGAGAACTTGTGGACACAAAGGGGAACAACAGACACTGGGGCCTACTTGAAGGTAGAGGGTGGGAGGAGTGAGATGATCACAAAAAATAACTAGTAGGTACTAGGCTTAGAACCTGGGTGAAAGAATGATCTGTATAATAAACACTGGCAACACGAGTTTACCTATGTAACAAGCCTACACGTGTAGGTTTGAGTTTAGTTCTCAATCTTTCTGAGCCTTAGTTTAGGCTGAGGCAGAGAATTGCTTGAACCCAGGAGGCGGAGGCTGCAGTGAGCCGAGATTGTGCCACTGCACTCCAGCCTGGGTGACAGAGTGAGACTCCATCTCAAAATAAAATAAAATAAAATAAAGAAAAGAAGTAGACCTAGATTTGGACCCCAGCCTTACTACTCAGTGGGATAACCTTAGATATGTTACTTGACATCTCTGAACTTCAATTTCTTTATAAGTAAGGTGGAATTAAAACCACCTGATTTGCAGTGCTATCCTTTCTTTTGAAATTTTCACATATGAAGGTATTTATCAGTGCCTCATGAATGCTAGACACTCAACAATTACTATTTTCCCTCTACTTTGCTGTAAAGGCATCTTTTAACTCATGGTAGGTGGTAACTGTGTCTTATACTAAACCTTTGGCATGACAATTTTTTCTATAGAATAAATATAATGTGATAATGACTCATAATTATCAAGGGCTTACTACATAACAAGAACTGTATTTCATATGTGCCTCACCTAATTATTCTATTTATTCTCAACAATAACCGCAGGAAGTTAGGAAGGTAATCTCCATTTTGCAGAAGAATCAGAGGCTCAGAGATCAAGAAATCTGCACAAGGTTATTCCTCAAGTACCCTACACTTCATCTTGCTCCTTTGTTCACACCTTGAAACCGACTGGAGACTATGCTGAGTGCATTCCAAAAATCAGTGAATTAAAAAAGAGTGGATTTTCTGGAATACGAATTATATCTCTAATAAAGCTGTTATTTAAATAATTCCTAATTTGGAGTGATTAGGAAGTGAGTATAAAGGAAGAATTAGCTCTGATATTTTTCTTTTGGCATCAGACTTTATGGTGAGCCTGTTCTCTAATTTTTTTTTTTTTTACATTTTTAAAGGAAAACTCTGCATCAAACACCTAGTCTCAAAACCAGACTATTCCCAATGTCTACTAAGAAAAACTGCTCTGGTTCTTAGGGTCAGACAGCCTGAAGAAGTTGTGTATGACAAAGTGACATGCTCAGACATACCAGTCTTACTAAGTCAAAGAATAAGACACTGAAACACCACAGACTCCAATAATTACCCTGAAACATTTTTTAGAAACTAATTACGGCCCAAGAGAAATTAAAAATTTATGAAGGATACTGAAATTATCTGGGAGAAACTTGAAAAAGCTGAAAGAGTCCAGAAATAATTCCAAAAAGAAAATGTGAACATATTTTCTTCAAAATGCTCAGCATGCCTTGCATACCTTCCATTATTATTTCACCCTCTGTTTGCCCAGTTTTGACTTAGAAAACTTTCTTTGGTATTAGAAAGACTGATGTATGTGATTAAAGATGGAATCATCAAAATACTTACACTTCTATATTACGGAGAACAAAGTTTGTTAGACTAAACGGAACTTCATGCCTTATGATATAGAAAACAGCAATAAAAGCTGAAAAACTTGGCCAGGTGTGGTGGCTCACGCTTGTAATCCCAGCACTTTGGGAGGCAGAGGCGGGCAGATCACGAGGTCAGGAGATGGAGACCATCCTGGCTAATATGGTGAAACCTCGCCTCTACTAAAAATACAAAAAATCAGCCGGGCGTGGTGGTGGGCGCCTGTAGTCCCAGCTACTCGGGAGGCTGAGGCAGGAGAATGTTGTGAACCCGGGAGGCGGAGCCTGCAGTGACCCAAGATTGCACCACTGCACTCCAGCCTGGGCGACAGAGCGAGACTCTGTCCAAAAAAAAAAAAAAAAAAAGCTGAAGAACTGGGGTCCTAGCTTAAAATATAAATGTGTGAAATTCAAGTCCTGTTTTACGTAATCTAGTCATTCCTTTAATTTCTGCCTGCAGACATTTACGGAACCAAGGAGCCATCATTATTACCTTCATCCATGCCATTAAGTAACTCGGTTAAATCTTCATTTTTGCTGTCAAACTGATGCTCCTTCCAAGTTTCACCATTTTCACTTCGAAGAACAATGAGTTCTCTCTCTTTTCCTCTCATGGACCCAAAGTGAGGGATTTCCACTATGACAGGGCTGGAAAAAAAATCCACATTATTTTGGTATCAAATTAAATATATTTAGAGTATCGTACTTAAAAAATGTTTCATTAACAGTATTCATTTGAAAATCAGAGGTGCCACTAAGGTTGGGAATGATTTCAAAGCTGCAGAATCATTTGCTAATTAAAGAATATTTTTGAAGCCTGATAACATGCCATCATTCATTCACTCACAAACAGTTCTTGGAGGACTACCATATGTTAGGCATAGGATTTAACAGGAGAAATTTTTCAGTACATATAAATAGGAATTTTGAATCAGAATGGAAAGTTATTAAAGTAGACCATAAGAAAGTTGGTCCATTTTTAAAAGACACAATAGGTATATTATACAAATGCTAATGATTTAAAAGGACACAGTCATTTCTTTAAAAAAAATTCTATAAAGTTCCTAGTTTGAAAGATGATTGCTATATTTTCTCCTTAGCAAGAAAACAATCAATATGATAACGACTCCTCCAACAGGCAGATTCCATGCCTTTCATGGCCATACGGTTAAGAGAGTTCCTGTGCTTTTCAATTTGTGAAATGGTAGTAGGTAGCTTCAATTCCTGGCTCTAATATAACCTGCATAGGAATACTTACACTTTCTGAAAAAGTACTTGTTGGTTTGCAATGGTCATATAACGACACAGTAATTTTTGACAGTGTCCTTTTGCAAAGGAATGTAAAAGAATGGCTGCAAATTGAACATAGCCAATCAAGCCACGGGAAATAATTTTGTTAAATTTTAAAATAGGATAAATACTAAAAGAGATGAATGGAAGTAAGCAGACCACAATCACACACAGTTTATGTAGTTGGATTGTGCAGCTTTATTTTATGACATTTAAGTAGACAGTATCATTATTCTCCTACAGAGGTTGTATGGAACCCCACTTCTTAACCTATGTGTTTAGGTATATGTGATAACAGAAGATACAGACTTAAATAAGTAAGAGCAGAAAAAGAGATCATCATTATAATGATCAAATAACATAAATAAAAACATGAATATCGATTTATTGGAAGAGCATTCGCTTAAAACGGGGATGATAAATATGATCATTTTGCTTTTGGCAAAATCAGAATTCAAATTAAAGATTAAAAAATAATTTTTATAATGCCTTTATTCTTCAATAGGTAGAAACAAAATCAAGTGTTCTTAGCAGTATTCATAATTTCAAGATTAAGGTGTTTACAAGAGTTTTTAACTACACCTTATAATTAAACATTAAATTGTATTTAGTTTTGAGAACAAGATACAATCTTTGCAGGTTAATGTGTCAGATACTGTCTCTGTAAATATTTAAGGAATGTGGCTTTATGTATGATGCTCAATGATATTGGAGAGAAGGTATGAACAAGGGTCTTTGACCAAGGTGAAAGCCAAGCATAGCTTTTCATTAACAGGGTTCTTCATGCAGACTGCCAAGGCAAATACAACAATCAAACAGACAAGCGAACAAACAACAAATACCAGTGCATTTCAGCTTAAACAAAACCAAACAAAACAATTTTATAACTTTCAAAGAATATTCTATCTGCTGTCTATTTACTTTTATTTAAATATCTTATTGTCCCAATACTTTTCAAAATCAGTTTACTTATTGATGACTTCTTCTCAAAGCCCATAAAAAATTACACAGTACTCATGTGCTTTTAAAAGATCTGATTACACACACATACATGCACGCACACACACACACAGGTGTACAGACATGTAATTTATAGCAAATTTTGACTCAAAGCCTGCAAATACCTTCTCTTACACTGGGTTAAAGACTGTCGCTGTCTTTAAAAAGTATCATATTCAGAAGAAACATTTCAAATTAAAGAAAGGTTTACAAAAGCACGAAGTTATGAAAGCAGAATGCTTGCAGTGAATTCCACATGCTTGAAAAGCACAAGATAGGTAGCGGTGCTACATTAAGTCAAGCCACTATGATTTTTTTTTCTTTCAGTGACACACATCAACTGAAAGCATTAAAAAAAAACTTAAAAAAATAAAAATAAACTTAAGACAAGAATCAGACCATGGGTGTGACAGAAAAAAATTGAAAATGGAAAAAAAAATTGTAGACATTCTGTATCTTGTCTATAAAGGTCCTACCCAATAAATTTTGTTCCTTGAGGCCCAAGCTGCAGGATTCGGCTAACCAAGCTCTCACCCTCATTTACAGGGGGAGGATTGGTAGGAAGATGCAGTTTACTGAATAACATCCATGCAGCAGAAAGAGAAACGAGAAGGGGAAATTGTGAACAAACTGTCAGTCACGACAGAGCCTGCCTGATTTGCACCCAAGTGCCACCTCAGAAAATGAATTAACTTTATTTTTCCTTTTTGTAAAATACCATATCACAATGAACTGTTTCCCGAAAAATTTTCTTTAAAAAGACATGTCCCCAAAGCAGCCATAGATTCAACGTGGTAAAATAATTCCAGCATCTGTATTTTTTCCCTAGAATGGTGCCTTGACTTCTACAGGGACCACTGGGGTTCCGTGCACTTGCTGAGCAGAGAACATGCTTCTCGGTTAGTAAAAGCCTTGACCAGCAAACTGAGTTAAGAAAGTATCAGCCTATTAGCCTTTCACAGAATCACACAGCTTTGTGACCTTTGACACTTTACAAAAAGTATAGTCAATCAGGTCCAACTAAGCAGTTTTAAGAGTTAACTCTTTGAGTTAACAAGGGTCAAGAAAATCAAAGATACGTTGTGAGGGCCAAGGTTAACATTGACAAAACAACTTACCCTAAAAATTGTGCCCCTGCAGGACCCATTTCTACCAGCCTACTGGCTAATCCCTCTCCTTCCACCATGGGGGGTGGGTTGGCCAGTTTATGTCTCTTTACCAAACGGCAGGTGATTCGAGTGGGGGCCGTACACTTGCGTGGAGGAATGATGATTCTCATCCCATGGTGACGGCTTCCTCTCATGGAACCCCCTCTCGCGTCCACCATAAAGCTAACCAGAAACCTGTGGGGAGAAGATCAGAGGCCAATTCAAGGATGGAAATAAACTGTGTTCACAGCAAGTTTTGAAATTAAATGTTAAAGTTTATTTAAAGTGACAGACAACGTAGCTATCACTTCCTCTCTTTAAAGATAAATCGGAAGTAAATACGGTGGAGTCACATCAAACATGTATTTAACTTGTGCACTTTGCAAAAACTGAAACACAACTTATTTTTGGTGGAACATGGCCCCCAAACAGAAAAGCCAACTACTTTACCAGGCTCAAATGGAAGGAATAAGGGAGGTTTCAAAACTGGAGTAAAAACTGTCTATTAAGAGGATTCTCATGCATTTAAAACAAAAAAAAACTGTGGTCTTTATATTCAAAGGTCATTTTAACTATGAGTGGTTTTTGCCATATGCTGCCATATGGTTTCCTACAAGTAAGATGAAACTCCACAGTATGTCTTGACATTTATGACTCATAAAATGAATGTATATTTAATCATACCAACACTAATTTTTACTATGATAAAGCAGAATATAGTAAAAGCAGGAGATGACTAGATTTGCTAAGGTGATTTTGATGGAAAGGGATTAAATGTTTTCAGTATAAATACGGGCTTAAAAGCTGTCTGAAATAACCTACATTTGAATATTTTATACAACAATTAAAAAATGGAACTTAGACTTTTAGAAAGTGGCTCTAAATTATATAATTCTGTCATTGGCCTTTTATTAAAGCTAATAAGGAAAAACAGTCTGCATGTATTGATAGGTATGGCAGTGTAAAGAAATTAACTGTTATATTTGGGTAGAAGCATATTGGAATCACTGTCTTCTATCACGTATGCACGGTTCCACTCTCATCATCACAGACTTTTAACACAGTTACTATCACAGAGTTATAAGTAAACATCAATCGGTGAGTCCAATGTGTGGAAGAGTTAAGGTGAGATAGCGGAACACAAATATATCCCTGTATTCTAGTTTCCACATATGAAAATATAGATTACTAGCACAGTACAAAATGGTGATAACTGGAAAATTGTCTGAATTCTTAAGTGTTTTTGGAAAAAAAAATCCCATCCATCAAAATTCTTTACTATTTTTTCCTCTAAAAACAATGCTAACATCCTGCAAACAGAATTTAAGACCTTGCATGGACTTCCTAGCTGGGGACCCTCTTCTGAAGAAGAATACCTCTTGACCTTGAAAGAGTGACCTTTTCAAGCCAACTGGCCTGTGATCCCCACAGGGAGAGGCAATGGGCTGGAGATCATTTTTCAGCCTATCAGATTCCTAGAACCAACTCTCCTCATCAGTAAGGTGGATTCATCTTTACACCCTTTTGCTCGTTTTGGATTTAACCATTTTGGTCTGAATTAATTTATGTCTTTTATAACATTCTATTGATTTTGGGAGATTGGGACCACTATGCTAATCAAGTTAAAGGGGAAAACACTGACTCTCTCAAAAATAAAAATAAAACAAAAATCACTCCTCCCTAGTCAAAGAAAAAGATACTTGTTCACTTGTACAAGTATTGGGATGAATTGTTACCAATGCTAAAAGACATGAGGCTCACCTGAAATTGCTCTGGGCTGCCCACATTTTCTTAGACATATGTATATTTAACAACTACTTTTATTCAGTAACAAGGCAATATGGCAATATTATAAGACAAAATCGAATCATTCCCTGCATTTAGTAGTTGTAACTACAAAATCAATTTTTCATTAGGAATAACAGTAACAGAATGGATTTAAAACGATTCACGACAAATTTTGGGCTTGAAGATTCTGTTGTGTCAGTACACACATACACACACACTGGAGTGTTTCCACTGAGAGGGGAATATTTGCCCTGGCAACCGCTGAGTCTCAACAATTTAGATAGTAATTCTGATTGGGTCTGTCTTGTTCACCGCTTGACCTGCAGAGCCAAGCACAATTCTAGCACAAAATAGGGACACGATAAATATTTACTGAATAAATCAATGAAAAAAACTATTTTGCTTAGAAACTGTGTAGGTGAGACTTGGTTACTAATACTAATTGACTGATGGGTGGATAGATAGGTAGATAGCTGATTGGAGCTGAGCGGACTGAAGGTACAGTTTATCAGAATTAAAATAAAAATAGCTCAGCTGTAAAGAATATCAGAACCAATGGAAAAAACACTAGTTAAGATGATATTAACAACAAACTGGAAGCGTCTCTTTCTCTGTATTCTGTATAGCACACAGTGCATGGCTGGGGCTCATCAGCAACCATTTATTGTTCTGAGGTTCTCAACTTCATGGAGTCAACAGACTGAGGAAAAGTGGTACTATTCATTAAACAGGACATGGGTCCTATTATTTAATAACATTATAAAATACAGTGATTTGTTTTACAAACCCGTCTTACATATTCCGTGTAAAAAAGTCATGCAATATAACTTCTAGAACAAATTAAAAGGTAATATGTAATAATATTTGTATCTTATTAATATTTAAACATAGCACAAATTCTACAAATGATCCTAAAACTAATACATGAATGTTTCTAGTTTTAGGAACAGCAGGATGACAAATGCTGATATACTACAGACATTGACACGATCTAATTATGGGAAAAATTCACATAAATTAAAAATACAAAAAGGATGGTTCACATAAAGGACACAGTTATCACCTTGAATCATACTGAGGAAGTGGAGAAGAATAGCTGCAAAATAATTTAGAAAGCAAATGGGAAAAATTAATGTAATATAATTAGAAGCAAGCAACAGAAAATGTCAATGACAAGCAAAGGAAAAATAAAAACCATCAGAAAATGAAACCAGGGTATTTGGCATTTGGCATTTGTGGGACAACCTAGAAAAATATCTGCCTTACGTAGGTGCATAAACTGCAAGGATCTGGCATCAGTGAAATATTTCTAAGTCTACACCAGGTCTATATTTTCCTTTTCCAATAAGCCCACACCTGATGCCATTACTTTTGCTTTCCTGCACGTGTCTATTGTCTCTGTTGTCTTCAATAACGTTCAAGGTGAAGGGGAGATAACTTGCATACTCAAATACTTCATTGTTTTTAATGTATGGGAAAGTTCATTTCTGATTTTATTATCATGTTTCTTCAACTTCTCAGTTTACTAAATTAAGCCCTAGTACCTTGTCTTTGATTTGTAGAGAATACAAAGTGATGGTTTCGAGTCTTTGAAATATGGTGGCAATTCATCAAGCGTGATTCAAAAAACTCAACATGTTTGCTCCCTGAATGTATCCCAAATGTTGTATATTTTCCTTCTTGAATCCGATTTTTTTTTTTGCTTTTCTAACATTAGACTGATATGCATCGAATATAAATTATGTAAATATTTTTAGCAGTTTAAAATTATAATAATTCAAGGTTTTTCTAATTGAGTTGAAGAAATGCAATGTTAATAACTCAAAAGCCACCATAAAGTTTATAATTTATGAAGCACTTTCATGTCAATTATTCCCATTTGAATGATATTGATCTGTTTCTCAGAATCGTAGTATTACAAAGCCAAAATCTATAACTATACTTTAACCTGAAGCATTCCTGAGTCTGATTTTGTATTAGTAAAATGAGGATGAGTAATATGTATCTCACAGTATCATTATAAGGTTCAAGTAAATATAAATGAGACAACACATGTAAAAGATTTAGCACAATGCCAGGCACATGACAAGAAGTTAGTAAACGTTAGCTATTACAATTTATTTTAATTAGGAGCAGCAGCAAATATTTCATATAATATATGAAGCACTTCATGAATATTAATTATTGTTAATTTATTTAATTCCAAAATAATCTGCCCTTGTCCTTGACCACAAATAACTTATGGCCTAAATGCCAATTTCAAAGGCAAAAATACTTTGAGATATTCATCATTTTAATGAATTATTTTGATTCTACTTATATGGATGTCAATTATCCCAAATTTGAGTTACCCAAAGATGAAGAATCCAGTATCTAAAGATACACTAATTTATTAATTCAGTAACTAAAGCAGGTCCCCTTTTAGCCTCCTGCCTCAAATTCTACTGACCAGGGAGGCAGCATGAGGAGGCTGTCTCCTCATGTAAAAAAAAAAAAAATGGTTTTTTTGTAAGTAAATATCTTTATTCTTTTTACTCATTTCTTTTTTTCTAATTACAAATTAATACAACTTAATTGTAATTTTATTTCAGAAATGCAGAAGGCACCAACTTGAAAGTTCAAATTTATATATTCTTTTAAAAGGAAAATCACAGAAAACAAATCATTTGTCAAATCAAAGACCTGTATCATATGAGAAAAAAATGACAATACCAGAGCTTACTGCTCATTTAAAAACTAAATATTTGCTGGGTGTGGTGGCTCAGGCCTGTGATCCCAGCAGTTTGGGAGGCAAAGGCGGGCAGATTGCTTAAGCTCAGGAGTTTGAGAACAGCGTAGGCAACATGGTGAGACTTCATCTCTATGAAAAAATACAAAAATTATCCGAGCATGGTGGTGCGCACCTGTGGTCCCAACTACTCAGGAAGCTGAGATGGGAGAATAGCTTGAGCCCAGGAGGTAGAGGTTGCAGTAAGCCAAGACTGCACCACTGCACTCCAGCCTGGCCGACAGAGCCAGACCTAGTCAAAAACAAAAACCACCACTAAATATTTCAGAGAAATTCTTCTATCATTAAGGGAAGCACAAAAGTCAGTTAAGGTAAATTAACAGGCATACTTACATATTTAATTTTCTATTGGAAAGAAAAATCAGACACCTAGAAAAATTTCTTTTGAATAGAAAAGTAAAACGGAGAAAAATCACTATGTTTCAAATTTTAAAAAATTTAAAAAGGAAATTTTCTGAAAAGGAAAAGTAAAGACCTAGAAGATTAGGATAGCCAGGAAAGTTTGTTGTATCAATAATTTCATTATTTTTTCTAACAAAATTAAATTTTTCTCAAAAAAACTCATACAGAATTACCTAGAAAGAAAATTTAATAATGATTTACAAATATGTTTCACATATACTAATGAATATACATTTCATACATGAATATATTCATATATATGAAGCTTGTTGATGTGAATTTATAACTGTAAATAATAAATGCACTGTTCATGTAGTAGGATAATGAAAAGTGACATTTAGGTTACTTACCCAGAATGAATGGGGCTTGAAACAAGATTGACATTGTCTAAAGTGTCTGCAGCCCAGCTGTAATGTCTAAGAGAATCTGAATCAAATTCCCTTGTGAATGTTAGATGCTGAAAAATAAAATGGTAAATTAAATTACATCAAAAAACCATACAAGACTGGTTTCTCTACACATATAAAATATATCCGTATTCCTCTAATTCCGGGTAGACTTACATTCAACATAAATAATTTTTAAATTTTCCTCTATAGAAATACATTGAAATCTGAGTATCGTAATGTTAGAAAATAAAGTCTATTGACATCTTGTTTTATTTTAATCTTTTAAGAAAGCTCCCTGGGTAACTGACATGGCAAAGAAATATCATAGAACTAACTCCAACTATGATTTTAAGCACTTCAACATGTCTCCAAATTAATCCTGTAACAACTGTAATTTTTTTTCTCATTTCTCAAAATAAAAAATGAAAAATTCAATCTTGATGACTTCTGGTTCCAAATGGGGCAGAGTAGCTAGTAGCAACCTAGTGCTTCTGCCAAGTAAGCCAGATAAAATACAGAAATTGTATCGGAATGCAGCAGAGAGCGCGGCTGAAGCATCAAGAACTAAAAGAACTACCAAACTCTGGGAGGGGGAACATCTTCAGGAGTTGAGTTGACTTTCTGTTGCCCATTTTTAACTTACAGGCTTTTGTCAGTTACCAGGGCAAACAGATTTGTACTTTTAACCTACAGGGATCACTGTTATTGAATACAAAAGCCAGGAGAGTTTTGGTGGATATTTGGGTGGCCTCAAGCATGCTACAGTTTCCTGCTAAGAACATGTGCTGAATTCTGAAGCTGTGCACAACAGGAAGCTCAAAACCTAACCAGAAATATCTCTGAAGAGCGCAATGGAGATTTTTGGCAGTTAATAAGAAAATGACCTAAACGTTTAGAACTTAAAATGGGAAGAGATTTGAAGATCATACCACAATTTTAAATAAGGAGGCTGGTGAGCTGGAGGGAAAACAGAGGTAGTGTGAGCTTTCACCAGGGCTGCAGACCAGCCTCATTTCAGCAAAATCTTTACTGAATTAAAATTTACTATTCTATTTGCCTAGCAGAGGGAGGGCAAACATTCTGTGGAGGAATATATCACCTTTGGGTGTGTCCACAATTTTTTATACACCATGTCTAGTGTGTCCACAACTTTTTATACACCATGTCTAGCATAAAGTGAAAAATTGCCAAGCATGGTCAGAGTAGGTGGATAAAAACAGAAAAATGAAATAAAACCAAACCAAGCTAGATAGACACTATAAACAGACTCCTAGGCCATCCAGATTCTGAGGTAAGCTAATAAGTGCTTTATAATAACTATGATTAGTATGTTTACAAAAACACAGGGAAAGATAGAGAAAATAAATTAAAAGGGATAGAACACTAGAATATACATAAGAAGCAATCCAACGGGCATCGGTTCAGTGCTAAATACAATGTCAGTTCTTGACTTAGACACAATATAAAAGAGGGTTAAGTTAGAGCCCTAAATGGAAAAATATACAAAATGAAGGATAGGTTAAAAAAAAAATAGAAAACAGTACAAGACATGGAACACTGAGAGATTTTAACATAAGTGTAAATTGGACCCTTAGAAATAGAAGAGAAGAAGAGAATAAAGTAGAAGCTGTATTTGAAAAGATAATGGCTAAGAATGTACCAAATCTGATAAAAGGTTTTAGCCCACAGTTCCCCGCTAATCTGCTTCCTACTGAAACCTCAGTAAAATGACAGTCACATATTTAAAAATACACACACAGAAAGGACAGAGAGAATAAGAGAAAACACATCAGCAGAGAAACAAGATTGGCCAGAATTATCTTTAAAAAGTGATTTGACTTCCATAATCCCCTCAGTTGTCAAATAATGATCCCCTGCCATCACTACCACCAACCCTAGCAGAAGACTAAAGGCGGGAGACTAGAAGGCTAGAGGCACCATACTGAAAATGGGGATTGTATACTGAATATTCAGACTCCCAGCCTTCCTTTACTGGTCTCCCAGACACAGTTAGGGACAGAGTTCTAGGCAGAAAAATGGGAAGTCTCTGAGGATTCTGACCTGCCCACTGGAATTTCCCAGTGAAATGTTCTGGCTTATTACTTCAGTGGAAATCACGGATAACAACCTCCACAAGATATAGAGAGCTTCCAATGAGCTTATTAATGAGTAGACAGTTGTCAGTCACTAGACAGTTGAGAAAAGCATCTAGTATAAAAACAAAACAAACAAGCAAACAGAAGGAAAGCAAATTGGAGGAAACAGGCTTTTCAGGGAGAAGAAAACAAAATTATTCATTATTATCTAGAGAGAGATGAGATATTTTTACACCCATGAAACAATAGACTACTTATTTTAAAAAAAAGAGACATTCAGGGAAAAATAACTCTTAGAAAGCAACAAATATATTGAAAAAACCCTAGAAAGTATAGAGAAATTTTTAACTCTAGAAAACAGGAGAGAAAATACAAGAAAGCAAAAGATAAGTTCAGGAGGTTCAAATCCTCCTCCTCAGTCTAAAGAAAAGAAGTTCTAGAAAGAAAAAAAAAATTGTGAACAAAGGAAAATAAATTAAGGAAACAATTTAAGAAACTTTTCCAGAGCTGAAGACAGAGTTTGCCAGAGTCAAATGACCCAGTGAGTGACCAGCACTGTGAATACAGAACCCATTATGGTACATCATTGTAACATTTCCGAATGTGGAGACAAAGACAGAGTCTATAAACATGCAGAGAAAAAATGGTCACAGATGGAGGGCCTGTATCAGACTTTTAACAGCAAAACGTGAAGGTAAAAGGCAATGGAGCAATTCCTTCAACATTCTGACAGGAAATGACTTCAAGTCAGAATTCTATAACCAGCTAAACTAAAAACAAGCATGAACTAGACAGATATTTCCAGATATATAAAACCTTAAAAAACATTTTTTTGGTGCACTCTCTGAGGAAACTACTGGAAGATGTACTCCGCCAAAATGAAGGACTAACCCAAGAAAAAGGAGGTCATGGACTCCAACACAAGAGAAATCAAAGGGAATTTTCATGGTTATGATGAAGGAAGACCCCAAGAGCACATCTGTGTGCAGTGGACCTACAAGGAATATGACAAGGAAGAAAGCTCTAAGCAAGATGAGGTAAGTAGACAAGACAGATAGATCACCTAATGAATGTGAACATATTGAGAGATATGTACACCTTGGGGAGAGTTTTGGGGTTGGACTATTGATATGCACAGAGGACATCAAGCAAGTGAAAAAACCCCAGGGAAAATAAAATATTGTGCTGGAAAGAAAAAGCAATCAGGTCAGGCGCGGTGGCTTATGACTGTAATCCCAGCAATTTGGGAGGCTGAGGTGGGTAGATCACTTGAAGTCAGGAGTTTGAGACCAGTCTGGCCAACATGGTGAAACCCCTTCTCTACTAAAAATACAAAAAATTAGCTGGGATTGGTGGCATGCACCTGTAATCCCAGTTACTCGGGAAGCTGAGGCAGGAGAATCGCCTGAACCTGGGAGGTGGAGGTTGCAGTGAGCTGAGATTGCGCCACTGCACTCCAGCCTGGGTGACAAAGCAAGACTCTCTCAAAAAAAAAAAAAAAAAAAAGAAAGAAAGAAAAAGCAATCACAATATAAGCCACATATGTAACATTTACATAGGCATAACAAGATAAGCATCAAATACAGCTATAAGCAAAATAAATTACAACTGTTTGGGGAAATGAGAAGATACAAAGTGTGCATGGTTGGGGAGGAAAAGTGTGGGAAAAAATTAAAGCTTCAGCTTTCATTTGGGGAAGTCAATAAATCATTCCTGAAGTGGAGAAAAATCAACAAGAACAATATACATGTAGTATTTAGAGATATGCAAGCACATCATAAGAGTCATCAAAAATTATTCCAAGCACTTATCTCTGGAAAGGAGAAATTGGGGACTGAAGGTGTATATGGGGATTATGTTTCTTCCTAACAAGTGTGTCTTGTAGAATGATATGGCTTTTTATTTAATTGCATAACTTTGGTAATAATAAAATCTAAATTTAAAAACTTACTCTGAATTACACAGATTTAAAAAAAATAGCCCTGAAGTCAAACTGAAAAATAAATTTGTAGAGCAATTATATGCAAGTCACTATCTCACCCTCGTCCTAGGAAAATGCAAAAATGAATGAGGAACAGCTTTATCTGCATTTAATGAGCAAGGACAATCTAGTGAATGGGTGTGCAATTAAGCTTCTAACAAGAATCCAAGAAACCAAGATTCTAACCTGCCAAAGGCAATAAACCATTTAGGAAAGTTCTCAAATTCTATATGGGTTAACCAAAGATGAGGTGTTGGCTTCAGTCTGGCCTTATTTAACAACAACTTATACTGACTTTTGGAGAACCAAACCAACAAACCTTCAGAGTAGGGCAAAATACTTAATACAAAGTAGTGATGTTCCTTTAATTTTTTTGGCATGAGTGGAGTGGAGGGCAAGCTACAGTTCCTACACTGGGGAGCCTAAGGTTATTTTTCACAAAGGTTCTTTTTTTTAAAAAAAGTTCTCATAAATAAATAATATCATTCCTCTTTGGTAATTACAGTAAATTATTTACCTTTGGTACTCTTAGAAACATGTACTGGTGCCATTAATTATTGAAACAATGAATTATATCTCACAAAAAGGTATCACTGCAATCATGTAATATTTATCAAAGCCAGAGTGTGCCAGGACATGGATTCCACATCCCTCTGAGTCCTTTCTTAACTTCTCTACTCTTGCAACTCTGCCACTCATTGAAGCTTTGTTGTAACACGAACAAATCTCATACCTGATCAAAACAATGAGCTATATTATTTTGAGCTATATGTCCCAATATTTGTCCCAGATAGTAACACTTAACTATGTTTTTAGGTACCTTAGTACTTTCTCTTCTGAGTTTTGTGTTTTCAGAGAGGTTTGCTCAGGTTTATGAACAGACATAACTCAAGTTTAATAACCTAAATACAGGCAAACAAAATACTCTTCCTACGGAGCATCCATCTAGCTATAAAATGAAGCAATTCAATGGAACCTATGGTTTTCTACA